GGGGAGAGAGAGAGAGAGAGAGAGAGAGAGAGAGAGAGAATGCAAAACACATAGGAAAGAAATACAGCTCGACAATCACAAGAAATTAATTAATGCAGACAAACATTTACAACAGGGTAAACAAACACATGATCAATGCAAAAAGACAACTGATTCAATTACACACTTTTAAATTTGAAGGTAACAGACAAACAAACACAGCAGGGCTTAACAAGAAGTATGGTTAGAGTGTTTTGGGCCAATTGACAGAACTGTCACTCACCCTCTCGGGCCAATACATCTTACATTTATTGGTAATGACTTAAGCATTAGAAATTGTTCTTGCAAATTTTGCTGATGTAAATATGTCACCAAGATAATGTTATTTAGATCCCTAACATGGAAGATGCTTTGCCAAAATGCAAGAATTATTGGTGAAAGTTAGGGGTGCACAATATATTGGTAACAGATTGGTTATCAGCCAGTATTAAAGATTTTTATTTATAGGTATCAGCCAATATTGGAAAAATTAAAAGGTCATTTAGATTACCTTTGCTGGCATCTAATAAGTCTTTAAAACACAAATAAATTAATAACATATTGTAAAAAGTAATTGTTAGCAGATTTCAAAATAAATAAATTATGTTGTGATGCCTAGATTCACTTGTAGCAATTAAAATGACTGATTTTAGATTTTTTTTAGCTTTAGACAACATATTACAGAATTTTAATATCAGCCATGTATCAGTTATTGGCCATAACACAAAAACATGATTTATCAGTACTGGCCAGAATTTGTGCATCCCTGATGAAAGCGTGATAACATGAGATAAATGGGTAAAAATTATTAACAATGTATATGACATTATTTTCCAGCAATAATATATATTTTAAACATTTATTTTAATTTTGTTCCTGACACAAATAAAAATGTTTATTAAAAAAAAAACTTTTTGTGATGGGCTCAGAAAAAAATCTTTATTGTTGAGCTCTGGAGGAGCTGCAAATTTTTAATTGATGAGCAAAACAAGAACCACATTAAACACAATGTGCAACATCAAGATTTTCACTTAATTCGCTTCCAAGAATCAGTACAAACAAAAATGAAAAGATCTATGCCAAGATAAACCCAAGAACCCCAGAGGAACCCACAGAAGGTAAGACAAGACAACAAATCCCAGGCTCCCCGGTTTAATTTACAATTTTCTTTTACAACACATTGAGACAAAATGAAAAGGTAAATCCACACCTCAAAAAGAAGAATAAAGAAAAGAATAGGGGAACGCACACGTGGCAAAGTGAAGGTCCAGACACCCATCCCATCACCTGGTGCATGTTGGAAGTGTAACCCTAGGCATTGAGGCTGATGATTTTCATCAATGACAACATGGAGGTGTTTCACCTAGAGACCCACACACTCTTGAGCATCTCAGAACATAAGGACAGGAAGTGAGCTAACACAGAGAGATGCAGAGCCAGGCATTATGGTAAATCTAATGACCTACATTTTCAACTCCCTGAAGAAATGTAATGTTGTGTATAAAGCACAGTGCGCGTGCATGTGTGGAATGCAGTAAAAGATATTCACAGACAGCACTAGATGTTCTCTTCTTACCCGGCTCACTGTACTAAAACTTTTGTTGCCATGTAACTGCAAGGACCAGACTCACATCAATTAAAAATAAGCACAGAGGACAAAATCAAAGCCTATTTCAATAATAAACTACATAATACACAGCGAAAGAGCAGCATATTCACCGTGAGGCTTGTAATACAACTAGTTAATCGAGGCACACCCAACAAATTAATGTAATTTAACCTAAATCTTCTCTGTCTGAGTAATAGCATAGAGCAGGTTTATAAGTTAACCTACTGGCTTCCACACTAACTCAACCGAATGTGTCAGGTCAGGTTTTTCGGTAATGTATGACCAGCCTCCATGCCTCGGGATACGTACGTGCAGGTGTGTTTGGGAACGCTTACCACATACTCCATCGGAAAACACTCTTTTGTGTGTCAGTTTTCCTAGAAAGTGCACGTAAACGTATATTAGCATGTTCTCACACATACACCAAAAAATTTTTTAAAAAAAAATCACATGACACATCAGCAAAGCCACCAATTACAGTAAACCTTTGATTAGCCTGAGGGACGAAATCATCAAAAAAAAAAAAGGGGATGTTTTATTGCCATAAAAACATTTTTGGCTCAGGAATGCATTTATTCATGTATGATTCAATCGAGGATTATGACAAAAGACTTTCTAAATTAGTCAGTTTTCATCATAGCACCTGGGGGAAAAAAACATCACAACTCCATCTGGCTACAACTGATAGTTTGATTGTGCACGGCACACATGCATGAGCATTTAAGATTAAAATACACCCCAAAAAAAGAGAAAGGCACATTAAAGAATGGCTGCGTCTATGTCTGTGGTTGTGCTCAGACAAACCATGGAATGAAAGGAATGACCAGGCAGGACGGGTAATGGGTACGTATGCTGTAGCTTCCTTATGTCTCCAATACACAAGCAGATTGAATCGGTGACATTGTGCACATGTTCCAGCCTGCTGGGAGTTAATCAGAGCAGGTAACATTCTTGAAACAGCCATCCAGAATAAAACGGTTCCTGTGATCAGTAACCAATAGCAACTCCTACTCAATTTTGTTACTTTGGTAACAATGTGTTGGTTACTTATCAAACACTACATTTACATGGAAATCAGTAATCTAATTATTTACCTTATTCTAAATAAGCCAATATTATGATTATGGTGTTTACATGAGTTGCTTTTAGAATATTCCTTTCATGTTCCCGTTTTACATGTTATAGTACATAGTGCGATTAATGGCACATGTCATTACGTCCCCTCTGGAATTTCACGTATAAACATAGTTCTTCTTCGTGATGATGCCATGTATCGTTTTGGGTGTTTCATTTTTAATTTTATGAAAGCTTCAAGTACAATTAACTGATCTCAAAAAGCATTGTGGGTGCACTTCGAACCCACATTCACACTTTAGCAGATGTGGGCAGAGGATGGAAGGTACATAGACTCATATAACCAGCATTTTAATTAGTGTACCAAAAAAAAAAATTATGCAAAAAAAATATTAAACTGGCACTTTATTTTCAATGTACTATATCTGCATATACTGTAATTAGTACAGGATTAGTAGCACAGAGACTTCTGGTTACTGGCTATTTAGCAGCTTATTTTAGGAAAGAACCACCCACTCAGACTGACAAAAAAATTAATCGGCTGATCACAGTTTGCTTTTTTTATGTAAAGTTTACACTTTGTCCTAACCAGGTGCGTTGTGACAAATTTACATTAACACAGTGTTATTATAATTAACAAAAACTATATCAAAAACTGAGCGGAAGCAAGTGGAAAATGTCAGTTTGACATTGTTTGTTTTTGCAACATTATTACATTTACTGTAAAAACTGTTAAACAGTTAAAACACAGTGGAAGACATCTACCTTCTCAAAATAAATTATTTACAGACATTTGTCTATTTGGAGGGAGCAAGTTTGGATATCACAAGTGAAATTCGCTCTGAAAAATTATGACCTGTAACCACAAACCATCATATTCATCTGCAGTGAAAAGCTGAACCGAAACACAATTCATGTAATTATCAAAACAATGTTCGAAGAACTTGCAGTTTTACACCTAAATCTCTAAAGAGCAAAAATGTAATTACATCAGTCTGAAAACAGGAAACCAGAAAAATCTAAACTGTCATAGAGTGAAAACTCAATGAAACTAAATGTTTTGAAAGGACAAACTAAAAATAAAGCAAATTCTAGATTCGGTAATAACCCTGCAGTGACAAGCAACTTGTCCTGCCAGTCCCACAGGTACACCGTTCTGCATCAGCCTGAGGTGGACTGTTGATATTAGTGGAAGGTGTGCATGTTTGCACTTCTCTTTCTGGGAGTGGACAGAGGCCCAACATAGCCTGCTTTTTTTCTGCACAGTCCATAATAACAGGGTTGACCGGAGGACTGAGCTGAACTACACTGCAGCGCAATGTTTCAGACATGCGGCCCATATATGCCCCGGAAACCACATTTCTTAGTCATAAATGATTAAGGGTGTATTCACACTTGTAGTTCGGTTCTCTTGGTCCGGACCAAAAAAGAAAAACTATACATTTGCTCCTGGTCCACTGAGCATTCCAACCCTCTACATTGCGAGTAAATCATTTTCATATGCGACTAAA